CACACCTCAATTGCGTAAGTAAAAAGTGACATAATTAGACTGTCAAACAGCAGTGTGCGTTCTTGTAATGAAAAGCCGTAGTATTTGCAGACTCTGAGGATGTACAGTCTAGAAGTTGCTTTGCTGAGCATGTTTTCAAATTGAACGTCCCAGTTACATGGATCTTCGTTTACTGCAACTCCTAGCAGCTTTAGTTCGCTTTTTCTGGTTATTTCGTCCACGGGCTCAGGAAGGGGCATTGTGGTTTTACCTTTAACAACCATCTCAAAGGTTTTCTTCGTGTTTAGTGTCATCAGGTTTTTATCTGCCCAACGTTTGATATTTTCTACTTCATAATGTGATAAATCTTTAAGACTAGGGCTGTAATATCATCAGCATATTTGATCAGTAGGGTTTGGGGGCTGACCGGTTTAATATCATTCACCATGATAGAGAAAAGTAAGGGTCCAAGCACAGTTCCCTGGGGAACCCCTCTGTTAACGTTCAGAAAAGTGGTAACCACTCCATCAACTACTACTCTCTGTCGGCGATCACATAGGAAGCTTATTATCCAGTTCTTAATGTATGGATTGATGTCATACGACACCAATCATACGACACGATGTCATACAGATCTACTGTCTGTACAGCTGTAACTTAGAACTGAAAGTTTCTTAAAGTTGGCTCGATGTTAGGCCCGTATGATCGCGCAAGGCTTTCTTATGCCAATACAGTCAAATGTATGACCATGTGAAAAATCATGTCAGAGACTCCAAATTTCCAAAGGAGGACTGAAGAATGGCTATAGAAAATGCCAAAAAAATTAATGAAATAAAAAAAGAGAGATTGCTACGTAAAAAAAGAATACACACTGCGTGCAGAGATTAGCTATATGGCACCGATTGGATTCAACAGAAGCACGTACTCACCAGCCGTTGTACAGACAAAGGGATAAAGACTGTCACAGGAAACCTCTTTTTGAAGTTTATCGGGTGTTATCACGGTGCAGAGTTGATCATCTAAATCCTGTTTAATAAAATAATCAAAGATTCCAAAAAAGTTCAGCGTATGGTTTCAAAACTAAACCCTGTTTTTGACGGTCCGAGGATCGTAGAGAACAAATATTAGCAGAGGTCTTGACGGACTAAATACAAAGGAAATAACCACAATTACAAGTGTCTAAACATTTAGCTAATTCCGCAAAAAGCCATTAAGATTTCTAAACTTAAACTAGAGCTTGGTAAACTTCGAACTCTCTAATTATCTCACCAAAAATTTCTCTTCTCAATTTCCTACTGTACTTAAACAAACTTGTCAAGGCAGAATTTGAAAATCAGAGATAGGGACCATGAATAGCAGGGATTTGGCAAAAAATATATGGTAAACTTCGAGCTCTATTTGTGTCAAAAAATGTAGGCAACATTTATCAGCTCCATTCATGTCACCAAGAAAGATATCCTCTTAATTACCTGCAGTACTCAAACAAACTTGTCAAGGCCCAGTTCAAAATTAAAGATAGGGACCGTGAACAGCAGTATATGCAACAGTAGATGAGTTTGACAAAAAAAACACAGCAAAACTCACTTCGTTTCCTTCTTTTGCAATCCATACGGGAGCATTTGGTTTTCCATCTGGTCTAATTTTTTTCATCACCAAGTTGATCAGTTCCATATCCTCTAATAAATGGGTGGAAGTCACATGCCCTCCATAGAGCTTCAACAGAGTGATATTCAATAATCAGTTATACGGAAGCAAACGAAGGTATACACCACATGTTAAAACAGCTTGTAGTCTCATAATTCGCGTATTTTATACTCATGTATGAACACGTTCAACTTCTCAATGTACACTACAGAAACACTGTCTAAAGTGGAAAAGGCGAATCTACACACTCTACTGTCTGTTAGTATGCTATCTGCACTTCCGGTAGAGGATACAGCCATCTATACTGTGTGCAGCATATGAAGCCATCTATACTCTCTACAGTGGGTATAGTGATCGAAGCTATTTATTCTAGTTTAGCTTATTTCTTTTACTTCATTTTAATCACTCGAAGATATTAGCTTACGGCTGCTCTTAAACTCGAGGTAAATAAAGTTTATGTATGTACGTATGTATGTATGTATGTATGTATGTATGTATGTAAGCTGTCTCCAATACTGTAGATACAGCTACCTAAATAATCCAATTGTAGTAGACACAGCTATCTACGCTGCTTACAATCGATACAATCATAATGATTATTTACCTTGTCTACAGCAAGATACTACACATAAAGTTGCCTTTGCTTTAGTGTATATGGCAATATCTACTGTAGACATGGTAGCTGTTCTAATTCGGACAGAGTAGCTGGCCTCATCTACTCTAGACGAAGTAATTGTTTTTATGAAATTGTCTTTTGTACTATGGATAGTCAGGGTAAAGAGGGTGTAGGAGATGCAAAATGACAGTGATTTTTCTGGCATGGATATACCTGGAAAAAAACTGAAAAAAGGAAACTACTGAGGAGACAATAATGCCTTTGTATGCATGCACCTGCTTTGCTTGATATTGTTGTTTTATCTTGCATTAAGAGAGTCTTAGTGGGATACTGTAAAATACAAATACAATCCATACCTTACAATAATCCTTGGCTTCCTTTAGCGTCCTACTTTCACCCCTGTAAATGTAGCACGTCCGACCTTTATTAATCCACCCAAGGGGACAGTCATCTACAAGGGAACAGCAAAGTTATTTTATCTGTATGCAGTGGTGAGTGTTACTTATTGCTATCTTTGCATGCTACTTATAATCCACTGCTTTTACGTGCCTGGTATTGGGAAAAAAAGATATATGAGTGAGAAGAAGAACGGGGTCTCACTGTCGAATATATTTCATTCAAGTGATCAAAAACAATTCCACGGTTGGGATCAAAAAAAGGCTTTACTCTGTATAATTCAAGAACGACCCTTTTTGTGTCACGAATTTTGCCATTTCATTATGCATGCATTTTTTCCACCTAAACAGTAAAACAACACGCTTGGTAGATTTGGTGCTATTCCTTTAAGATGACTTTGCTATAGGGTAAAGTATGCAATCTAATCAAGTTATCTACCCTGCCTGATTTGCTTTCTAGTACGCCTATACCTAGGAAGTCTTTAGGCTTGATCCTCTCTAAGAACATTAAAACGAACGGGAAAGATTCCGTTTTTGAGTATTTTTCTCCTACCAAGCATCATGTTCGTAATTCAAGCGTCATATTGCACCGACCCAGCTCACATTCTACTGTGAAATTTAGATTTCGCATTGGTGTTATGAATGAAAGAGATTAAAATCTATCTTTCAAAAAAAGGGATACGCACCTGTTAAGAGGTTGAAAGGTGATGATTTTTGAACAGGTTTATATTACACAGTTGCCAGTCTTGGATAATCATTTTTGTCGTAGATACGCAGAGAAACTAAGGACTCGTTTCCACTGCCCCACCAATTCTGCGCGGCATCAATTGGGTCAGTAACTGGCGAGCTTGTTGAGCTAAACTCGTAAAGATTGGACGGATTCTCAAAAACATTTCTGCGGTATACCACTGGCCCGTTGGAATTGATAGTGATGGAACCTTGGTTGTGATAAAAACTGTTTAATTCACACCTTTGTCCCTTCAGCCAAGGACTAAAAAGTTGATAATCTATCAGGTATAAGCCAGAATTATTGTATAAGAAATTATTAACGATTTCGCATGCCACATCAGAGACTCGTACGATCCTGAAACCGTATCCCGAATTACTTTCAAATGCGTTGTCCTTGATATAAATGAAGCTGTAGTTGGCTGTATTCCCTTGTTTTCTTAATTCAAGTGTGGCTCTATTTTCATTACTGGAAAACGTATTTCCAAACACTAGGCTTCTTGATGAGCTTGTTCCTTCGGATCGACCTGCTCGCACGGTTACACCTCCGTAATGGTTTCCAAAGATGAAGTTGTTGGTAATCGCAAATTCTGTATCATGAATGTCCAAGAAAATAGAGGTCTTTGGATTCAAGTTTGAGAAGGAACCGTCGGTGACTTTGCACCTTTCAATCGTTAAATAAGGAGGGTTATCGCTGCTACCAGTGGTAGAAACGTAATTTATGGCCTGATGCTGGTTTCCGCTGAAAACGCTGTTTGATATGCGATGTTCTGCAAGAGAGAAAGGGTATTATCTGACAGAAAAAAACCATTCCGGGAGCTATGAATTTAGAAAAAAACAAGTGGTTGTGCAGTTGTGGATAGAAGATAGAAAAGAATTTTTTATCAATACACAATGCGAAAATATTCCTTGAAATTACTCATTGGCAATAACAAAGCATAATATTCCAAACGAAGAGACAAAAACGATCTACCTTTAGCTAAACAGCCACTTAATAGTAAATTATCGACAGCGACGTAGTTTCTTGAGTAGTAATAAGATGACGAGTTGTACCGAGCCACGAGCAAAAGTCTGTACTCATCAATGTCACTAGGAAGGTCAATTACCACCTTTCTCCAATCCCATACGTAGTCGTCCGTAGACCTCCATATCAGCCTGTGGTCAATCTTGGAAAAGGTTCCTTTAAACGATGGAAAACAAAAAGAAAAAGAGAGTGGAAACCCGGTGATGCTGGCTCTTTCTTTTAATTTTTTTTTTTTAAGTCAGTAAAATTACGGACAAACCTGTTTGTGCGTAGACTGACAGAACAGCATCTCCGTTTCCTCTCAGGCGGTAGAAGTAAACTAAAGTGCACCACTGGGACTGCTTTGTGATTGGAGGGCTGATCATGGCTGCTAAGCCACCAGTTCGATCCCAGTAATAGTCCGAACCAGCTAACAGAACCTTTCCTGAAAAACTAACCGGTTACAGCTCGTTGAAATTCTCTCGTTGGCTAGATAACAGCTGATTTTTTGGATAAATTATCGCTTTGTAGTTGTTTAGAAACTGAGCAAAGCGGACTAATAAATAACATTTGATTAAGAGCATGTTCACGAGAAAACCGGGCAGGGGGCAATAATACTCAAACCGCCCATTTGGCTCAAACTTAGCACAAATGCTAGGGATCAAGAGTTAACAAATGTGTGAAAATAAGAGGTCAAAATATTTAAATCCCTAGCTGCAGGAAATGGAGGAATGTTGGAAAGGGGGGTTTTTCTAGGGTACCTTTTATCTCCCAGTAAATTAGATATTTTGACCTATTATTTTCACAAATTTTTTAACTCTTGATACTTAGCATTTATGCAAGTCTAACCCAAATCGGTGATTTGAGGATTATCGCCTCTGCCCGGTTCTGCCAAGTTTAAATTCTCTTACTGACTGACTGATTATGATCATCTCTCTAACTTCTTTACATATGGATTCCACTTTTCTGCGAAAAAGTATCCTCACTTTTCTTTGAACAAAACAGGTTGTTTATTATTGTTTGTTTATTATTATTTTATGGAACATTACAAGCAAATTTACACAACTCGCATATAGCATTAGCTAGTCTTGGCGGGTATTAGAAATAAATGAGTAAATACTACACATTGCGAGCTAAAGAAGTTTGATTACCACCATAAACTAAAGAGATTTTACAATATATTAAAGAGATTTCATTACAGCAATATTATTGGGGTTATAAGCCATGCATTATTTTACTACATTATAAGCTAAAAGATACGTACAGATGTCATACAAATTAGATACAATAAAACTACTAGTGAGTTAAAACAAGACATGATACTCAAATACAGGCAGAGCAGACTGGAAAGTAGAAAGGAGAGAATTGTGATATACGGATGTGAGCGAAGTACTACAGTTATAATAATCGATAATCATTGGTATTGAATTTCAATATTAATGAATGGGCGTCAACATAATAGGTACGATTAAGAAGCAAAAGAGAGATCGTTCAAGACACAAGGTATCTCTAAACTTGACTGATGCGGATGTTACCATATCAAACTTTGTGCTTGAGAAAGCGTTAGCTGATTTCAAAACGTACCATAGTAATTCAAATAAGAGAAGTCGTGTATGTTGAATGGCCCCCCAGCTCGGATTTTCCATGTCTTGGTGATGTTAAGCCCTTCAAGGGTCGTGTTACTGAGTGTCTTCCAACCGCAAAATCCTATCTCGTAAGTGCATGGTGAATCTGTGGAAGAATGTGAAGTACATTGGTCCACATGCCCAACAGTTTTTTCATGATCTAGACTCCCAATTTGGTGGGTAATATGGAGGGATGTTTTTTTAGAACGTGGCCATACGCCTCGAAAAAACTAGGACTTAAGCCATTGAACCAAAAACTAGACAGTCAAAGACTGCATGTGCCAACTAGTTTAACACAGTTTTTGAAGCATTGGAGAGAACTAGAAGTTTTATAATGACACTAGAGGGCTGTACTGAGAACAATTGTCTCGCATCCAAAATAGAAAACCTGCCGCATCCCAGGTATCTCTCAGCACCCTGTTCCAATGGAGAAAGGTGATTCAAGAATATATTGTCTAATAGACATACAACCAATAATTAAATGGTGACAAATAATAATATTTATAATAATAATCATAATAAAGACAACAATGGTAGTATAATAATAATTTAAAGGGGTTGGCTCCAAAAAGTCATAGTTGCCCTCTCCTCTGGACTTCAACAATGATTACGTTTGCTTCTTTTCATTTTGCCTGTTAGTTGCACATCTTTATAATTTGGTTGCAGTTCCATTTTCTAAGACTTTTGTTTCGGGATATATTGTCACTCCCCGTCTTAAGATACTCCGCCATTCGCTGATGCACTGTTCTCCATTCCATCATTCTGTTGAATAACTCAAGGTATCGTATTTTGCAGCTTCCTCGCTTCGTAAATTTAGCGGCCTTTTTCGGCATAAGCCGCTGATTCAAAGAGTAGAATGCCCTCTTTGAAAGGAAAAAATGTCCTCAAAGCCTACATGATGTGCAGTTTACGTCTATTGAGATATTTCTGCGAGGAAAAGTCTCGATTTCAATTATGCGTATGTGGATGTCACTGTGAATTATTTTGGGATGTTTCTTGTCTTTTGTAGTGTCACTGTCATTCGGCAAGAACTGAAAAGATTATATTTTCGGACCTACAAAATTTGCTGATTTAAACGGTAAAATGCTCTCTCTTCTAAGAAAAATAAATTCCCCCAAAGTTTTATAATGCACTTATCACACCTATTTAGATATTTCTATGAGGAAAACTTGTTTTAAATCGCACAAAATCCTGAGATGATTGCGAGATGTTTAATTTATCGCTCTTTGCTGTCTTTCGTGGAGTCAGCAAGAACTGGAAACATAACGTGCTCGTGGTTATAGTCTAGAAATCACAAAAGGGCAATAGTCATCCAATAATCCTTCACAAAAAGTAACTCAGAAAGTTAAAACGAGAGGTAGTTGCAGTTAAGAGACAAGACTTTCATTCGTTTGTGAAACGTTGAGCGAAGTTTTGAATTCTTCTATGAACAAACTTTCGCGTATTCTTTACAATTCCCTTGAATTTGGACATTTTGACGGTAAATGTCACGACAGAACCGACGGAATTCGATCAATGAAAGTCGCGTTTAATCCCTTTGTGTCTAGCTAGGAAGAGTCTCATTGAATTCAGCTTTTCGGTGGAAGAAAGACAGATTTATACACACCATTGCAGAAAACTAACAAGCAGACTGACAACTCCTAAACGAACATTTGCATTCACTTACAATTTGACTTTCCGTGAAGTTCTAAAAGGGAACAGAGGTAAATACTTTCCGTAAGATCTCTGACTATTTATTTTTTTTTTGGAACGGGAAGGTCGTCGCATGGTCCTTTGACTGGTATGTGTTGGTCTCACCAACACTGTGTTTATTCAAGAGCGTACATACGTTTTTTTCCTATTCGATTGACAGGTGTCACATCGTCACAGATACTCATCAAAATATGTTTCAAAATTTGCTTAGAAGCCTTTCAAGTTACCTTTACAAATAAACAGTTTACGGTGAAAGCTTTCTCTTAAAGTTCAATAACGCCTGTTTTCTTTATCATCCACTCATTAAAAAAGTCATGCTTATAGATGATTTTCCGATATTTAAACTCGTAATTGTAGCCCTAAATCATTTGGGTTCTTTTGGGAATCATTTTGTTATGTGTTAGAAAAAAATAAAAATGTTATTCACCAGCATAGGTCGGTTCACACTGGAAAAAACTATGTCCTCTGTTTTGAGTACCGCCCTCGGCCTACGGCCTCGAGGATATCCAAGACCTCGGGCACAGTTTTTCCCAAGTCAAACCTCCCGGCTGGTGAATAACATATCTGTACTCACCAACAACATTTATGTCTTCCACTTCAACGACAATTTCAGAGTTAGTGTCACCAGTCCACTGTAGTAAAATTGCATCACGCAGTATAAACAAAGCTTTACCTACAAACGCGTTCAGGCTTCCGTAAGAGCTATCCAGGATTAAATTGCCAAAGTTCCCAGAATCGTAAATCCTCACTCGATGCGTTCCTGTAGTATGTAATAAAGTAACTTTGATCCCATGACCTTTGGAAACAGTCAATACTTTTAGACAAGTCATCGACTCCCATGCATCTTTCAGTTTCGCAGTATCAAAGTAAAGATAAGTTAATTTCTTTATATGTACAATTTGTTTGGCACCGCATACAAACACTCGGCCATAAAAAACGCGAGGGATATTTTCACGATTTGGTTCCTCAAACGAGGCGCCCAGTAGGTTCTTGCTCGACTCTAAACTGTCAAGCATGATGCTTTGATGTGTCTCTACAAAGCTTATCCCAGTGCCTCCTGTGTTGATAAATGTACAGTGATTGAGGTGAATATCAGTTCTTGCAGAGAAGATTCTTAAGCCACCGGATGTGCAGTTTTTCACTGTAACAAATTGTAATTTGGGCGCTCTGTTCACGATTTCAATGGCTGGCACAGCAGCTCCATGGCGATTGCCACAGTTAGAAAACTGAACGTGATTTAACACGGACTGCAAGTTGGAGGTGTTCTTATCTCTGGGTGGCACAAATCTTACATTTCCCCAAGGTAAGCCCTCACATTTTACAACTTGTAAAGCAGTGGTTTCGTTTGGCATTACCAGGTTGAATAAACATTCTTGAAGCCCTGTTTCGTGTCCAAAGCAGCTGATCTCTACCATCCACGACCCTTTCCCATCCTGACCAATACCATGGGACTTTCCTTTCGAAACATCACCTGGACCATATCCCAGCTGATGGCAGAGTAGTCTTGTAATGTTTCTGATGGCTAAGATATTTGAAACAGTTATCGGCTTCCACGATTTGTTATAAAATAATTCTGCTCTCCCCTTCCAAGGAAAATCGCCATCCACAAGACGTAAAGGAAACTGTGACCTGATGTTATCTTCTGTAGGCTCCTTAACTGTAAATATCACTGGTTTGGCAAACGTTCCCAATGCCTGTAATGTTCCAGCGACAAGTACTCTCTTCCCAGGGCTTACTTTCACGATAACTCCAGCTTGTATGGTGAGGGTAACGTTTGCCGTGACAATAAAGTCTGAAGGTACGAAGTAAGGGCTTTGCGAGGGTTTAAGTGTCAGAGACTCTATCAGTCGCCCTGAGAGAATACTACGCGTTTGTGTTAAGTTGTGCTGTTCGAAAGAAATTAAGTCGTGTTCATTATTAATCAAAAGAACTGGCGATATATTAGCAACAGCAAAGTCATAATTGTCATCAAAGTCCCATATCCTTTCACGCACTTTGCTTTCATTCGCTGTTCCCCACCAATTGTATGTCAAATTCACTACGTCATACTCGGAAGTGGCCAGTACTTTAACACAAAGTTCCATCAAGTATCGAGTATTATTAAAACTGTTGAAGTAAAACTCTGTTTCTTTGTGCCCTAGGATACCAGACAGAACAACCGCACAAGAATCACGTTCGTTTAGAGACTGAGTTTCAGAATAAGGAACGTTATCGAATAGGGTATTGTTCTTGAAGGCAACCATTTTCCTCTCAAGTGATAGATGGATATCATACATCACTTGAAGAAGAACTACACTGTTTGCCCTGTTGTTGATGAAGATATTACTCTCAATGATGTTGTTTTCGTCCATGCGAAGTATTTCTATAACACTTTTATTTTTGCAATAATTCTCACGGAACAGGTTATTTGTAACAGTAAGTTGAACATAAGGTACTGTTCTTCCAAGAAATAGGCAACGTCCGGAATTCAGGGTGAAGTTGTTGCTTCTAATGTCAAAAGTACCTCGCCCTGTGTACCTATAAATGACAATCGCTGCATTATCCTGGATACGATTCGCCAAGAACAAATTCCGATGAATTAGTAAAGTTATTCTCCCGTAAGAGGTCGTCAAGGAGATAACAGAGAAGCCCAAATTCTCCTGGAATAAATTACTAACAATTGCGAACACTTGATTACTGTAGTAGCTGCGACATTGAATTTCAATGGTGGATCCTTCGTTACGCAAAAAATGGTTCGATTTTATTACTGAGGAAGGATTTCTGTAATGATGGTAATAATAATAATAATAGTACTGATGGTAAAAAACGCCTCCTTTTACGTTCGAAGAGAAAAAGTTGCCAATGAGTGATATGTTTAAATCCATCCCGTATGAGTGTTCCGAGATAAAGAGGCCGCGTTGACGATTTTCTGTAATACTCGAGTTTAAAATCTGGATGTGATGTGCATGACGAATTGACTGATAAAGTACGTTGATATGTATGCCATGATATAGTGATCCGTTGACAACACAGTCTTGCACGCTAAAAACATCTTGAGAGGAGATCAAATCTATAAAAATTCCCTGGTTGTTTTGGTGAAGCTTTGATGAAACAATTTTAACGGCATTGATACCACTCGGGGTCAACTGTATTCCGAATTCTGAATGAGTGATTTCTGTCTCACTTACGCAGAGGTGCTTCAACACACGTCCTCCAATGAGAATACCTCCTTGAAGGCTATTGGCTATCTTGGCTCGAGCTATTTTGATTTCTTCTCCGACGTACACAACGTTTTGACTTCCTGTTAAAAATGTTTAAAATAAACACAACAAATTTAAACTGCTAAAAAAAAAGCAAAATTAAAATTAATGACGACTGCATCTTCCTAATTGTCTATTCTCCCCGACACTTTGAATCCTTTCCTTCCCTTTTTACTGTTTCTCATTCTTCTTTTAGAATTAAGTTCTTAATCAAAATAAAAAGAAACAAAGAAACAAAAACGTTTATGTGTTGAATTGCTGAGTCTTCACATACCATAACCTATCAAAAATGTACTTTATGAATGATCGAACCCATCTAGGAAATTCATCATCTAGGTTCGTCCAATGTCAGAGGGTATAGATTTAGAAAATCGACTGTGGTTTAGCGTCGTCTGTATTCTTATCGACAACAACATTCGTCTTCACAATGTTCAAAATTTTGTGGACTCAGGTTGCGGAGCCGAGAGAGTCCGAAACAAATTTTGACAGACCACGCTAAACCACTGTCGATTTGTATTTTACGACAATGTCTACGCCAAAATTTCCGATTCGTCCATGTTTAAGAGCTAATGAAGACATTGCGTGACACTTTGACGCAAGCAGCGTTGTCTGTAATCTTGTCGACAACGACATATTAGCCAATCACATTTCGACATTACTGCCAAGCGTGGTAAAATATTGAATAGAAAGTCGTTGCAAACAATAACAAACCTTTCACTGTATACACCAAGAAGTTCATATCTTCACTAAAGCCAGAGTGCTTGAAAAAATCAAACAAAATAGAAGAATTCACCGAGTTGAAAACAGGTCGATTCTCCAAGGATGATGATCCCAACTTAAAAGGGATCCCTAGTGACATATTATCTCCGTTATACACGTGTAGGAAGATATGGTAATCGTCCAAATTTGTTGAAGTGTAAAGCTCCTGAATAAGTATTATATACCCTGGCTCTGTTTCCAGCACGTGTTGACATCTGAACCGAAGGCTATCTTCCAGTGCTTCTAGACTGAAATAAAATACCTTTTCGGCGGATAGAAATGTTTTGTTGTGGGAGCAGATATAGAGATATTTATCCATGTCTCGACTGGCCATTTTGGCGGTAAATGTGCGTGTACTATCCCATGAACTTGTTGTACCTTTGAAAATGAAACCGTTCCCATCGTTTCTTGTCATGTTTATGTCTGTGAGAACAAGGGACGGAGAGTATGAAAGAACACCGTGTGACTTTGTATATGATATTGTAGATTGTGGTATCAACGACGCATAATGAATGAAGCTCTGGTATACCACTTTAACACCAATTCCCAAAGAGTTATTAATGAAAATGTTGCTTATGTTATGATGGTTGAGGTCGATTGTCAGAGCTGCACCGGAGATTTGGATGTCGCTGCGATAGGCGAACCCAGCATCTAAGATTTCCACGTAACGTAACAAGCTTTGATGATTGGTCATTGCTAGGTGAAGCCCAGCCCAGTTGTACTGTTGACAAGTCACGTGCACAGTATAACCTGTACAAGAGGGTCTATAACTCCAAGTGTTAACACTGCAGTTCATGATATCATTGTCAATGTTCTCGTCGCAGATGACGTTATGCACAAAGCCAGAGCCTTGTCCAGTAGGAGAGTGAAACCAGTAGGTCTGATAGTAGAGATTAAATTGCTGGCAAATAATTTTTGATTCTGAGGTAAATGATCTGTAGTAAGAAACGCACACTGGCGACCAGGTATTGTTCACCAGAAAATCCACTCTTCCTTCCCAAGGACCAGCACCTCCAGCCAAACGGAATTCCTCTTGGTATGGCTTTGTCGAAAATCTAACTTTTTCATTATCAGTCCCATTGACAATGAGCTTTCCTTTTACCACCATCACTGATCTGGGAGGAAACCTTAACGTGACATTTTTAGGTATGACCAAAGTACCGTTGGTCAGGATAACAACGTCTTGTCGGACGTCGTAAGGTGAGTCAGCATTTGACAAGGTCAGCAGTCTGTCTAGGCTTCCACCAATGCTGGAACCTCTAAGGAAACAGTATGGTCTTGAAGTACTCACGGCACTTTTGTCCAAAGAGGTGTAATATGGGAAGAATTGAAATTGGGATAAATGGGCATTGTGTTGAAAATCAAAGACTCTGTCCATAATTTCGCATCCATCAGCGGTTCCCCACCAGTTCATTTCTGCATCAACAACTCGATGATGATCACGAAGCAATGAAGAGATCTGAAATGTGTAGCTGGGGTTTTCAAAGATGTTATCATGTACAGTAAAATTGCCTTCCTTAAGAACAATGACTGCATGACTTGTCAGCCGAAGGAAAAAGTTTGGAAAAAGTTCTTTCGTAGGAGGCTCGTTATCTTCAAAAGTGTTGTTTCCTATAGAAGCTGAGCGTGTCTCAGGGTATAAGTTGTAGTCAATATATATCACATTATCAACACGATTTTTGGTGAATGTGTTTCCGTTGATTGTCACGATAATGGGGTTACCTTTGCGATCAGGCTTACAATTGTTATCGTGCAAAAACGTCACCACTCCGTCACTATTGTTTACGAATTTGTTTGATTCTATCAAAGAATTTGAACCAAGAAAACTGAAACAGTTAACATAAATTGAGTTAGCTTTGTTCTGTTCAAAAAGATTGTTATTTACAACAAAATCAATTTTTCTTGGGTCGTTCCAATACCACCTGCGGTAGTTTGACGACAAAACGATACCTCCTCTGCTGTTTCCAACAAAGGAGTTTCTCTTTATCACAATACTAGGATTGACTCCATATTCCCTTGGGTTTTTTTCCCCAAAGCTGAACTTGATTCCAAAGAGTGCATTGTTTTGGATGGTGCTGTCCTTTAAAATAAATCCCTTGAAATGATAATTTGGCGAAGAGTAATAAATTGGATCTGAAAGACTAATTCCACATCTTGAATTTGAATTTGCCGAGCAGTTGTACAATTGATGAGATCCCGCCTGGTTGGCAATGTAGCATCCATCTTTTTGGTTTCTTGAAAAATTGCAAAATTTAAATTCAGTGGCGATTTTACCATCGTAAGCCATTACTCCATTTTGTTTATTCAAAATCGCAAGGACGTTTTGCATTACAACTTCGCCAGTTCCAGAAGCGATCACAAGTCCGTTGTAACCATTTTCAGTGAACTCCGAATCGGAAATTTTACCTTTGAAAGCCACCCGTTGGACATTCAATCCATTATATCCGTTTCCTTTGAAAAATAGCTGGCAAAGAATATATGAAAGAAAGCTGCTGTCCAAGAATCCAAGACCATTAGCACTGTTGTCAATAAAGTGAGAGCCGAGCATTGTTATTTTACCATGGGTCCGTTCAATCATTAGGCCATCCATGCCATTTCTAAAGACCTTTGTCTCAGAAATGTCCAAATTTCCTACGAAATCTTTCAAAAATATACCTCTCCCCTGGTTATCGCTGAATGAAGAGTTGAATATTACCAAAGAGCAACAATCTGAAAAGAGATAGTACCGTTATTCAGAGACCTTCCGACCTTTCAGATCCTATCGTGGTTTAAAAAATAAATTGACTTGGGAACCAATAACTGAGAGATTTGGACTACACAAAGATATAACCATAACTAATAGATTCAGAAAACGGGAGAGAATATAAACTCCTAGTATAGGACCACTGCCCACTGTGACTTTAGTTAACCAGGTTAGCCCATTCACCAACTTGGCTGGTATCCATAGGGTCCTGGGGATTAAAGATATCTCCAATATATAAAATCTACAAAAAGTACAATTAAAAAATTTAAAATTAGATTAAAAATTATAAAAACTCTAAACAACAGTGAATAAAGAATAAAGTAGTGAATAAAGGGTGTAAGTTTCTAAAGAGACTGTGGTACTCCATCGGCGAGGGAGTATAATAAGTTGATAATGTAAATTGGCCACCGTAATAAGTTTCAAAGCTGACGTTTCAAGCGTTAGCCCTTCGTCAGAGCGAATGAAGGAACAGTAGGTTGTGTGTGTGTTTATACGCAGAAAATAGAGCAACGCTATCGGTGGGAACAAGGTAACGAAAAAGACAAGTATAAACTTGTTGAATGTAAAACGTATGTTGATATCGTAGAATTAAGATTTCCGATTTGAAAGAAGAATTTTTGTTCTAGAGTTTTGCAGCTCTCCGAATTCGGACTGCTTAGATGTAGGGAAAAGCCACAAACTGCCATATGCTGTTTAGAATGAGTAGGCAGATTGAAGTGTTTAGCGACTGGTTTGGATGCGTTCTTGTCTTTCCTTTCTACGTCGCGAAGGTGCTCTCAGAAACGATCACTCAGTCGTCTTCAAAAGGCGACAAAACAAAAGGAACTTTTAGGTCAGAAGTTGATCAGAGTAATGACCAACCTGGAGCTTTTTAAATGCACTCGCACACGATGTAAACCTTGTCTTTTCATTCGTAACGTTGAGGAAATATGGATCCTTAAAATTACTGAGCACTTGACGTACACCTCCACCAATGTCATCTATGTATTTGGGCACGATCCTCGCAGTAAAGAGCACTATTTAAGCAATATAATAGTGAAAATCAGACCTGAAACAATTCAGGCCTGTACGGGATTCGAATGTCATCTATTGCGTAACATACATTTATTTCAAAAAGATATACTCTGGTGAAACAAGAAGAGGACACAGTTGATAAAGCCAAAATTATCTTGTGTTTAGCTACGCCAAGATGTAATAGTAGTCTTCGCTTTTTGAGTCACAAACGCCTGAGAGTCAGTTAGCAGATGTAACATACGTTACCTATTTGATGAGTGCGTGTTGCAGGGGGGGGAACTTGGAGATGATTACCGGGCTGACGAAGGACGTTTTTGTTGGGTATCCAAAAGAAAGAAAGCACAGAATTGTTAGCTAAATTCTATCAATCCAGCCTTCATCCTCCTCCTTACCCCCCCCTTCCACGTCCGTCACTCTCCGTTACACTCTATACGTCATTATGCAGATTTTATCACTCAGGCAGAGACGAACACAAGTTTACGTGAACGTGGTAAATGCATCTGCCTTGCAAGAAGCAACGGCCGGCAAACCATCCGCGGGTACACCCTGACAGACCTCTGAGATTAAATTGTGTTTCACGCAAGTGCGAGTTTCATCTAAAGCATGATGTATCAGCAAGTCGGTTGCCTATGCGCAGTCCTGTCTTTGAAAACGTTTGGGAGTCAGACAAGAAGTAATTGATGCACAGGGTTTGACGAAGTCAGGGGAGATCTGGAGCACCAGAACCTTCCTCTGGATTTTTGCTTTATAACCCTTCAAAATAGATTTCTAAAGTGCTATTCTTCCTACCTTGACTGCTGGTCATTATAAATCTGACTTTTGCGTCTGAACCACCACCACTGTATCGAAATCTTAGGAATAGTTCGTGACCAGAGCTCAAAGATGGTGGGACGACACCTGTCAGTTGGTTGACAAACGAAATTGTTGTGGCATTTGTAGTGTTCCCGTCATGTACTTGGAGTTCGAAGTTTGTTCCACTCGTGGATTCATATTGAACGACCAATTGCTTTCCTGGCTGAATTCGAATCATCTATAAGCAACATTTTGGACACTTAGTACAGCATAATTTTCACTTCTCTGATTAATTTTTTAACAGTCTGATATGATATCAGACTGGGCTACGCATAAATTTTGAATCTGCCTTATAGGGAAACTCAATGGACTCAATTTCTCTTACTTCAGGGGACTTAAATTTCGTCATGAAGTTCAGAATTGCGTAAAAATTTGCTTCAATCGACATTGTTAAAACTAAAATGCATGCCATTAAATGTGGTTTTGGCAATTAATTCGCAAAGGAGACTTCTACTTCACAATAAAGAATAAGGAGCAAGAATTAATTTTGTCCGAATCGATTTAATTGCGGAACATATGTTAAATTTTCAAGCAAACAATCTCTGGAAATCAAACTGTATCAATAAAAGTAATTTTCAACCTGACATGGACTACTTTGCAGCTCCACTTTAGTGCATGTTTTAATTTTTGGAAATGACTCAACAGAAGTGCATTTGGTTATGTCCAAGAATCAGGAAATACTGAAATATATGTTGCCACAGAACATCAAAAACTGCGGATGAAGATGGGTAATAAGGAAGAAATTGTTTTTCAGCGATACCTAAGCCAAAAGTAGAAATCATATTGGATTAGCGTCCTAAGTCGTTTCTTTGATATAAACATGCACATGTATCATTTATGCTGTTAAGCCAACGCAAAGTTCATAATAGCCCCCAGTTTGAAGACATTTGGGGCAAGATCTTTTTCTGTAGCTGCCCCCACACTCTGGTACACTTTGCCGTGCGAAATCATGAACTGCTCCTCAGTGTCCGTTTTTAAATACAAACTTAAAACTTCTCATTTTAAAAAAGCGTTTTTCTAATTTTACAATTGTGTCACTCTTGTTAAGCGCTTTTGAACTTTGAGGAAAATAACGCCATATAAATACTTTATTATTATTATTGTTATTATTATTATTGTTATTATTATTATTATTATTATTATTATTATGCAGCTATTGACTTCGAATTTAAGTCATCCAATCCACCCTAATTATATATTACAGACTGATTTCTATTTATCCTTACCTTGGCACAATCAATAGTGGAATATGCCTTGCCCAGCGCTTGGAAATTTATTGGAAATGAGGCGATGCTACTGCTGTTATCATCAAATGAACAAAAGTCTACAGAATCAGAGGCAATTCCAAGGTATTGAAGCCCGTGTCCAACCATTGTTTTTTCCACAACGGTGTTCTCTATGGTAACGTTCCCAGAATGATTCTCCATATAGATGGCAGTAAATGAGTTATTTTTAACACTGCTGTTACTTATGGTCAGCGGATAAGTCCCGTTTATGGTCATCACTCCAAAGACAGACCTTTGGATAGTCACATGATCCAGGTGTGGGAGAAATCCATTACCGCTTATTGCTTTATGAGCATGAGAGATGTGCACGTACTTCATCACTGGGCGCTTCTTTGAACCAATAAACTCGATCCCGTTCCATATCGGATATTTCAGTCCTTGACACTCAATTCCTATGTCCTCACCATGACCTATTCAGTGAGTAAATATTTTGACAGTGATTCTTACTTCAATAGATTATCATGAGATCGTTTTAGTCTTTTTCTTGTATATCAATTACCTACCGCAATTATGAGACCCGATTCCTCGATGTCGGCAATGAAGCAAACTCATTTCGTGACCATTACATTCGACATCATCTAGCCAGATAGGCCCAGTTCCCCCGCCGAACGTGTAAAATCTTTTGGCTTC